GAAAGGTGGTGAAATAAGAATGTGCTGTGTGATTAGAAAATTATATGCTACTAGCTTCACTTATTGATTTAGCATGGTGGGTAGGTTATTGATATGAGAAAGTGGCCTTCTCTTTGAGTCCCACAACTCGATACGTGATTCTGCAAGTTTGATATCTACAAGGACGTAATGGAACCTGCACTCACAACTGTCCAATGCAAATCAGTCCAAGTTAATGAATAACTTTCAAAAAGATAAGAAGCTCCCAGTTAGGGACGAGAACACATACTTGCAGTTGTAGGCAAGGTGTATATTCCCTTTACGTTTGATTCGATGGAAGGTTCGAGTCAATCGTTCAATCATATCGGGCAAGTCATAGTTTATGCCTTTACAATTATTCTTGTTTACTTGCACGAGGTCCAACAAAACTATATGATGCAGGCCTTTCAATAAGCAATGTTTTACCTCTAACCTGCATAAGCAAGGGATATGTTCAAATGTTGAAGACGTAGTTTAGATAATATCGTGCACCTAGGGTACTTACACAGTCCATAGGTTCATTATTTAAACATCATGGTCTTGCCTCTGATATAGCTAAAACAAGGCTTCAAATTCGACCCAGCTAATCGATTCTTCATCTTGATCAAAAATGTTGGTGCGGGAAAGAACAACAAAACTACCTTGACCCCTTTTACACTATAGATCTTGTAATATTCATGTAGTTGACTCATAGATGTCGGCAAATCTTTGATCTCCCTTTCAATGGCCAGCAGATCTTCGCCTTTTTATAGCTATATGCAACTGGTGCCTTTTCAAATTCTTGGTTGCTGGCCAAATGGATCTCGACTTACTCCAAGCTCATGCCCGTCACTTCAGCAAGTTGCATCTTCTCTGTAGTGTTTGCTTCTTGGACTCTGTCTTCATTCGCTTCAATTTTGATTTGCCTTCGTATTCGGAGAGACAAGGCTTAGGGGGCATGCCCAATCGACTCCAAACTGTGATCTTTTTTCCAAGCTTGGGGGCGCCGATACTTTTGGCACAGCAACATGTCGGTACTTTGAGTTTATTGAAGAAAGAATAGAGCATTGCCTTTCCTTCCTTTTTCAAGACCCATGATACAACCGGAAGTTTCCTCTGCCCATCCTCAAGAGTTATGGGATGTAGCTCCTTCCTTAGTCCCAATTGTTGCATGTCCATGCATGTTTCGAGTGAATCCTTTGCGGTCCCCCGTGCTCATCAAGGTGTTCATTGTGTTATTGCACACATTTTTAGTAATGTGCATGGGATCAAGACAGTGACGTACAAAAAATAGTGGCCAATAAGGTAGTTTCCAGAAAACTGATTTTTTTTCTTCCACAGAGCATCGGTTGGGTACTGCCTCTGCCCCCTTCCCAAGGACAACTTGAAGTTTGCTTACTTCTTCAAATATCTCACTCCCATCTCAATATTCTGGAGGTCCCAGAATCTCAATAGTCCGTGAAATGATTTTCTACTCCATGTTTTCAAAATTGCCTCAAATTTTTGCAATCTCTGCATAGGCAGTACAAGATCTCTGCATAGGATAGATCAAAAACAGTGACCTTAAACCAAGAAGATCATGCCCATATCCCTCAAAATACAAGACCTTCCATGAGCATTTTCGTGAAAAATGGCTGCAACAATGGAGGGAGAGGTGGGGACACTTCTAGAAATCTGCACATATATGACAAATAGCTTTCGTCACTGAAGAAGCGAAATTCATCATAATTTCAGTTTGTGGCTTGAGCCAGTAGTGATAAGGACCTTCACTCCTGGCTCATTAGGAACCCCAATCATTTTTTATTTTTCTGCTTAAAAACCGACAGTGAAGGTTTATCGCTACCAGCAGTTTGTATGAAACCAGTGATGGGCCGGCAGTGAAGGTCAGTTCTGTAGTAGTGTGCCTCCGGCTTTCTCTGCCCTGAAGCCCTGGTGGCCACGCACCTCGGTGCTCTAGCGGCTCTGTGCTCTCTACCTTGGCAGCCCCAGCCTCGCGCAGCACAGAGGTGTCTTTCGGAGAACAAACATGCACAGGGTCAATGAGCTAGTTGATGGAGTGTAGCCAAAAGGGTCATATTTGGTTGTTGGGGATGCAGAGCTGATCCAGGAGCGCTACCAAACCAGCACTAAGTGTTTGCCACTAAATATTGACAATGAATGATGAGTTATCTATTGATATGGACAACTCGATCTCCCAACTATCAAAATCGTATAAACGCCTTTATGCTAAAGCCAACTTTTATATCTTTCTAATAAAGCCATATGCATGATCCTTGTTATTTAATTTGGATAAGATTTGTTGAGTACCCTCTTGTACTCAAGTTGCTATCTTAATTTGTTTTGCAGGTGAGTACCCTCTTATACTCCTATGCCCCCGACCCGATCCCCCGATGGAATGGGAGTATTAGATGGCTGATGTATTAGGCGTAGTAGACTCCAAGTATATATGACGTGGCTCGTGGGTGTTGTATCAACTATGTTAACAAAATTTCTGTTGTAGTCTTATTTTGTGTGTTGTAAACTAATGAGATGATCAAAGTTATGTGTAAAACTTGAACTATGTTTCCATGTGAAGTAGAATCGATCTGTGTAACAATGTGTGATCTTTTGTAACACGTTTCTAGATGAAGGCTGCATAGTTGGTGAACATGGATGGTGCTACCAGGGACGAATAGATTAATTAGATTATGTTTTATGTGGGCCAAGGGTGTCTGCTTATTAACTAATTGGTCTGGTTAATTTTAGGGTCCACATATTTTGGATTGTGTTTAATGGTTAATAGGTGGGTAATTTAGGTTTAGATTGAGGTGTTACTTTATAATTGATTTTTCATGATGGCTACAAAACATAATAGATCCAGTTTCTGTTATTATCGATGATTAAAGTCTACCAAGATGATTGTCGTATATTTGTAATTTTTATGAGAATCGATCTATTATTATCGGTGATTAAAGTCCACCGAGATCATTGCCATATATTTGTAATCTTTATGAGAATTTCTAGCTTTTATATTCTTTTCTAACACGTCTTGTGCGGATCAGCTTGGAGTTTCTGTTGAAGCCATTAGTCAAGTAAGATGTAGTCGCTTATCAGTAACTAGTTCATCACGCGCGCTCTCGTTCGTGCCGGCAAGGTAGGAAAGGAGATACCTACATTCTAAATACCACATGGGTCTTGCAGAGAAATGTTAAATGTGCCAGTGCCTAATACTGCTGGGAAAACCACAGCACTTCATAAATTTTCTACAGTGATATTAATTCTCGTAGAAATTTTACTCACACATATGCATGCCATAGGAACTTTAATGATTTCAGCATATATATATTAGTGTTAGCCACACTGTGAGCTGATAATAGATAAAAAAAATGAAGCTCCACAGCTTGATAACTTGATGGTAATTGACTCAGCGAGCAAATTGCAAGCCAAAGTTATGATATTCACATAATATATCACGGCATTGCGGCGAAATGCCAAGCGACATGATGAGCACTAATTGTGACCAATCTGACCTTCCTTACAACAATAGAAGATAAGCAAACAAAACAGCTAGCAGCACCAACAAAATCAAAATGCATAACGCCATTAACAAGGCAATCACTTCACACCTCTCAAAGCAAGTTGTCATACTACACAATTTGCCACCTTTAGTGAAGGTTCTAGCTAGGCATGCTTCTTAGTTCTTACTGAGTACTGAGTAACAATAAAAGTGAGCGCTATGTTGCAATGTGATATGTTTGCAGCGATAATTGGCACAATAAAAGCAGAAAGAATAGCTACTCAATATTACTAAGTACTGACGTTTAGATGCAATGCCAGACCTGAGAATCTGCTCCAGTGTGAGGCGTCCACCATTCTGCCGCATCTCCGCCTGCACAGACCCGACATAGCGATCCATGACGAAACAGAGGTGGCCGCCGACCCTCACAGCACCATGGAATGTGCACACGTTCCGACACCATGTGGAGGCGCGCCTAAGCCACTTCACCTCCTCCAGAACAACCTCGAGCCCGTCCCCTGCGGGCAGGGGCACCCTCTTAACTGCCACCCGGTGCTTGCACCGCTTGACCCCGCCGCCGCCGCCGCCACGAGACAGCGTGCCGGCCCACAACTCTTGCTCGGTGGGCCCGGGCAGTCCGCTCCCGATGCGGCGGGCGAGCTTGAGGTCCGGGTGCGAGGCGAGGTCGAAGGAGCTGCATCCTGGCAACTTGCGGGGGCAGCGGGGGCCAGCTCGCAGACGTGTGCCACCGTGCCGCCTGCGCACCGGCCATCGGTGGAGGCCATCCAGCCGGATCTAGTGGAGATGGGGAGGGCTGGCGCTGGATCCGCCTGCTCGCCACAGATCCACCGCCTCCGTTGCCTGCGCGAGGTCCACGCCGTGCTCCAGCTTTAGATCGGCAGCCGGGAGGGGCCCCGCGAGCGGCCGCTCCAGATCCACCGTCGAGGTTGCCGACGTGACGTCCCCGTCATCATCCACGCCCACCACAGAAATAACAAGACAGCATATGACAGCTACCATGTATGGCAGTCGTCTTTTATTTTTCTGATGAAGAAAGACAGCAGTACTGTCATTAAGTAACCCCAAAAAGAAGGCTCCGGACACATCAGGGGTAGTAATAACACCACGAAATAAAATACACACAGCAATATACAGAATATCCCAGTAAAGATCCACAGTTCCACACATGACCTGCACACTGGCTGGGAGCAAATAAAAGCCATTTTTCCGAGTTAGATGGCATAGTGGCTGACGCTGAAGGCGTCCTCGGGCCTGCACTGCGGATCAGTCCTGCTCTTCATAAACCGCTGCATATACTCGTTGTACTGGAAACCCCTGTACTCCGGCGCATCGCCGACCTTGGCCGTGAACTCCGGCAGGGGCTCGATCCACTTGTCGCCGTGGATGGACCAGAAGAAGCCGAAAGAGTGCCTGTGCACCGGCTTCCTCACCACCCTGTGCGTCGCGCTCCTCAGCCTATTGTTGCTCAGCACCCTCACGACATCGCCTATGTTGACGACGATGCTGCCCTCCACGGGCTCCGCCGGGCCGGGATCCACTGCCCGTCCTTGAGGACCTCGAGGCCGCCGACGCCGTCCTGGAAGACGAAGCTGATGCAGCTCCCGTCCTCGTGCTCGCTGAGCCCGATCTTCTCCTCCGGCTCCGTCGACGGGAAGTAGCGCAGCGCCACCATGACGTCCAAGCCGCGGTCGCTGTTGAAGTCCCTGAGGAAGCCTGGCGGCTGCCCCATGCAGTCGTTCAGGATGTCCTGGATGAGCAGCCCCAGCTCCGTGAGCTTGGCGTAGCACTCCTCCATTGCTTCTCTGAAACCGGCTGGCTCATCGGGGAAGTAGAGGTTGAGCTCGTGCCGAGGATGGCATACTCTCACGTACTCGTACCTGTCCACCAGATGCGCCGGATGCAGCCCGTAACCAGCCGCGAGGGGCGCCTGGGAGCCCTCCGCCGGCCGGACCTTGGCCTTCTCCTCGTCCGGCAGCGCGAAGAAAGAGGCCGACAGCTCCAGCGCGCTCGCCATGAGCTCGGCAGGCACCCCATGGTTGACGGCACGGAAGAACCCGAGCGTGCGGCACGCCTCGTGCATGGCTTCCGTGGCGCGGGCCATGCCGCTGGCGTCCCCCGTGAAGAAAGGCGCCAGGTCCACGACAGGGAGCGCGCCGCTGGTCACCATGCCCCTGCTCTCTCCGTAATTGTTTCTCTCCCGTATCCTTGACCAAGACTGCTCGTCGCATGCTAAATATATAGTGTAGGTCACTTGCTTAAGGCAAAACAATCATGTCATGTTTCAAGTGTTTGGAAGCTGTTTATTGTGCAATCACTATCGTAACCATTGGCTGGACATCTAGCTAATCTTATACAACAGTGGTCCCATGGCGGTTGAGGCATCATAATCAGGGACTGTCACGTACTGCTAAAAAAACTATTCCAACCCATAGTGGTCCCATGGCGCCAGATCCCGTTCGGCTTACCTTATAATCCGGCTTATTCGGCTTCTTTTTTTCAGCCAAAACTGTGTTTTCTCTCACAACAATTCAGCCGGAACAGTGTTTTTCAGCCAAACGAACGGAGCCCCTAGAGCTTGTTGTTTTTATTTGTTTATTTATACTCCTTGTTTATTCTAAGTTATAAGTCTTTATGGCTTTTTTTATATACATAGTTTTTATTATGTATTTACTATTTAGACATAGCCTGCATCTTGGCCTCTAGATGCATAGCAAAAACGATATACCAATTTTGGTTGCATATATATAGTGGTGTAAGCTTATAACATGGGGCACCTTTATTCATCAGGTTAGCCTTTAGGGGCTGTTTGATAACGCTCCACGAGCAGTTCCACGTGCGTGCATACCAAACGCCCCCAGACTGCTCCGTCCTATGCCCACAAAGCTTTGAGCTTGCCCGGCTCCTCAATGCCCTCGTGGGCCCACTAAGCTGGTGCAGGGATGGAACAAGGTGAGCGAGGACGGGCATGGCGACAACGGCGCATGGACAGAGTAGGCGGGGCGAGGTCGGACCAGCGAGAAGGGAGCTGGTGCAGCCGTGCAGGGACGGAGCGTTGCGGGACGACACCGACGACCCAGATCCGGGAAGCGTGCAGGGCTAGAGGGAGACATGCGGGTCGGGGAGGGAGGGCTAGGCACACGATTGAGGACCAGCGTTTTTTATTTTGACGTTGGGAGGCCAAACAATATAATAAGGGTATAAGAAGGAAATAAATAAAGAAAATAAAAAAAAGGGTAGAATGGTTATTTTGTCTTCTTTATCTGTGAGAAGAAGCTGTTCTACCAAACCTTACAGACCAGTTTCGGCTGCACCGGTGAAGTTGCTGAAGCTCAAGCTAAAATAAAACTTGCTCCATTAGTGAACCACAGCTGTGTCAAACAGGACTTTAAGGTTGAGCTAAGCGAAAACTTGGTTGGTTATGAGCTTTAATTTGAGACTTTGGATAGTGACGCATTGACTCGTGGGTATGGCAGACTGCGCATTCTAAAAACAAGTTTTTTGCTAGAGTCAGAATGCTTGTGATATATATGAATCCGTGCAATACAACAACGAAGATGTTGATCTCACCTGCTTGTGTTTGAGTGTCGGAGATGCTGAATTTTTGGACCCAAGATGCCTCGGTCCGCGAGCGCCGTCGCTTGTGTGGTGTCCATCGCTTTGACCTGGCGATGCCGTCGCTTGCCTGTTGATTGGGAGGACCCATGTGATGCATAAATTCGATATTGTACCGCATCAATGATCAATCTAACAGAAATGCAGGGGAGATGCTGATCTCACATGCATTCCTTGTGTTTGGGTCTCAAAGATGCTGAATGTTGAACCCAAGATGACTTTCTCCGCGGGCACATATAATTTTATACTGTGTGCTCTGAATTCAGTAATGCTAGCTGTACTCGGTAGTTAGATGAGTCGTCGTTGCTGCCTGGCATGCTTAAGATATGAATCGATCTACCACATCAATGATCAATCCACAAAGAAAAAAAACTTCGGGGGAGATGCTGATCTCAGATGCTTGTGTTTGAGTGTCAAAGATGCTTGTCGTTTACGTTGTGTTGATCGTTTTGACCTGGTGATGCCATCTTGTCTGCTGATTGAGCAGACTCTAAGATACTCCAACCCGAAAACAATATAATTCTAGCACAGTGGATGTTTTTAATATCTTAAGCTTAACTAGTTGTCCATAAAAAGTGACAATATTTATGATATCAATTATCAAATAAATATCATTAGATTAATTATGAAATATACTTTTATAATAAAATGATTTCAAGTTATAAATGTGAATATCATTTATTAGAAACTAGCCAAACTTGAACCACTTTAACTAGCATGTAACCCATAGTTGCAATTTTCTTTAGCACAGAGGGAGTACATAATATTGCATGTTCGGAATTCAGTACCGCTAGCTGCTGTCCTTTGAGTAGTTGAAGTGTCGTCATCGCTGCCCCCAATTCTACCTAATGTTACGATCGATTTTGTCAGCATTCATCATTCATCTTAAACCATGTGTGCTGTGGAATAGAAAGATGCTCCCAAATAACTAGAAGCATCGCTGTTGTCGTCATTTACAACATAAGTCATTCCTAAATAAACATAAGGGCATGTACAATCTAGAGACAGGAGGTCTTCTCTAAGATACTAAAATCTGACGTAGAAACAATTAAAAAGACAGGTCATACAACCCAGAAACGGAGGGTCGTCTACAAGCAGGTTTAATGTTTTGTATGTAGCCAAGATCAATCATGAATATCAATTTGTAACCATTGTGTGGCCGTTTGATGGAAGCCGGTTCAAGCATAAATAAGATGAACAAAATTCAGATGGAATGACTAGAAGCATTCAGATAACTCACTAGTCCATAATAACGGGAGACATGCAGTGCACACTTCATGTGAAATGAGCACACGCGAAACTGCAGTGTAACTGAAACTTGATAGTACAGAATCAAAAGTTGACAGTACACCACCATCCATCCAATTATAAGAAATTTAACAGCACACTATTAACTGAACAAAAGTTGACAGATCACCACCATTCAGAAATTGAACACTACTGAAACTTGATAGTACAGAATCACCACCATTCAGAAACTGAACACTACTGAAACTTAAAATAAACTTAACTGAGCAATAGTTCATCAGAAAAAGGTAACATAACATAATGATGTCCATCTCACTGTGCCTTCATGGTGATAGTTCAACTGAACAAAAGGGACTTCAACATAGTAGAATGCCATCCAGAACATACTCAGAAATTTCTATATAGTAGAATGCCATCCAGCAAGGTAGATCATAGTAGATAGTTCAACCTGTTCATAGCAGACTCAGAAACCTGTATGCAGTCCAGAACATACAAGAAGAATGCCATCCTGTGCACAGAGAAGCCATTTCAGTCTAACACATTCAGTTTGGTATAATACAGAGAAGCTCTAACACATTCTCTCTTTTTTTGTGTGACTGAAGCTCTAACACATTCAGTTAGTAAATAACATAGCAGCACAGTGATCCATAGTTTAAGAAAAACAAAGATTCAGATAAATAAATGTGACCACCACACAACAAACATTCAGATAACTAAAACACTCACTGCATCACACTATAAGTGAAACAAAAGGAACACTGGGCAGCCACTACACAACAAACATTCAGGTATCAGGTAGATCACAACATATCCTCTGCACAGGGAAAAAATTCTGAACTTAACAAAAATGCTGTCTTCAGGAAAAAATTGTAAATTTCAGGGAAAAACAAGCTGTCTACAGAACATACCTATTTAGATAGTTTCTGAACAAAGTGCCTTCCTAAGCACACTCAAAGAGGTCAGTCCACCTGTTAATCTTGTGCCATCGATCCTTGCATTGGTTCAGATGAAGACAGCTTGAAAAACATGTAACATATCATGAGTTAAAATGAAGACAGCTTGAAAAAAAAATAAGGAAAAGAAGAAGACACATGAAAAACATGTAACAATGGAAATAAAATGAAAATTAAAAAATAATGAAAAAAATGATAATCAAATATAAATAAGTTAGAGAAAAAATAAAATATAATAAAAAACCTAAAAAGGAACATAATAAAAAACACATAGGCCATCACATTGATACTACTAGAACAACCTTAAATATACCATCTAACATATCATGAGTACTACGTAAATACTCAAAAATAATCATGAAACATCCCATTTATATTACGTGAATATCGCAAAATATATCATAGAATATCACATGTATACTACATAAACAGCACAACAATACATATGGAGAAAAAGAAATAATAAACAGAAAAAACATGTAATAGAGAAAAATAAAAAAGAATGCCACATGGATATTACTTGAACAATCTAAAATATATTACAAAACACCTCAGAAGTACTATGTAAATACTCAAAGATATTCATGGTACATCAAATATATACTATGTGAACACCTGAAAACATATCGTAAAACATAGCATGTATACTACACGAACGTCATATGTATCTTATAGAAATAGGAATTAAAGGAATAGAGAAAACAAACAAGGGAAAATGACAAGACAATGGAAAAAAATGCCATGTAACAAAAAAATAAAAGGAAAATATGACAGAAAGAATGATAAAAAAGAAAACATTGATCTATAAGTGGAAGAAAAATAAAATATGATATGGAAAAACACAACTCAAAGATAATCATGAAACATCATCCCATTTATACTACATGAACATCACAACAAGTCATATGAGGAAACATAAATAATAAAAAGGGAAAACATGTAACAGAAAAATTTTAAAAAGAACATCACATGGATATTACTTGAACATCCTAAAATACATCGTAGAACATCTCAAAAAGTACTACGTGAATACTCAAAGATAATCATAGAACATCTCACTTATACTATGTAAACATTTGAAAACATATTGTAGAACATTATATGTATAATACACGAACATTATATATATCTCATGGAAATATAGAAATTAAAAGAATAAAACATGAAAAAAATCAATAATAGTTAATAAATAACAAGAAAAAACGGAAATGAAATAATAAAGGAAATGAAAAGAACAAGAATTCAAAGAATATTGAAAGGGAAAACAGAAGAAAAGTGAAAAAGAAAGCAAAAGAAAAGGACAAAAAGATCACATAACAGTGTATTAAGAGGACTCTTCCAACTAGATAAAAAT